GATGCTCTAACCGCTGAGCCAAACCGGCCAGGGCCCTGCTCTCCTGTTTTAAATTTTTTTTTTATTCTCAACTGAGGACATTTTCCCATTTTTTGTTCAGATAGAGTGGGAGGGAGAGAGAGAGAAACATTGACATGAAAGGGACACATCGACTGGTTGCCACCCGCACAACCCAACCAGGGCTGGGGACAAACTGCAACCGAGGTACGTGCCCTTAGCGGGAACCGAACCCGGGTCTCTCTGGACCACAGGCCGATGTTCTAACTGCTGAGCCAAACTGGCCAGTGCTGCTCTCCTTCTTAATGCCACTGGTTTTCAGAGCAGTTGGGTGGGTCAGGATATGCCAGGCAGCTCCAGGGGCTGCTACCTTTACTCTTAGTTCCCAGTGTTAGTTTGCTAGGGCTGCCGTAACAAAATACCCTTAACTGAGGGGCTCACACGCCATCATTCTATTTTCTCACAGCTCTGGAGGCTAGAAGTCCCAGATCAAGGTGCTGGCAGGTTTGGTGTCTTCTGTGATCTCTCCCTGGCCTGCAGACAGCGCCTTTTCTCTGTCTCCTCACCAGGTCTGTCTCATGCGGTCTTCCCTCCGTGATTGTACATTGGTTTTGAGTGTCCACGTTTCCTCTTCTTTTAAGGGCACCAGTCAACTGGCTCATTTTAACCTGATCCTGTCGTTAAAGGTCTTATCTCCAAACATAAGTCACATTCCGAGGTACTTCAACACATGAATTTTGGGGGACATAATTCCCTGGCCTGGATAACCCTTCAGATGGTTGGATCATTCTCATCCTCGGGTCTCCCATGGACTTGTCACCTTTTCTGCCAGGCATTTCTTGACCACATGGCTTCAAGCTGAGGTCCCCTCCCATCCCATTTCTTGCCTTCTTCACACTGACTGCAGCTGGAATGGTTTCTCTGTCCTTTTCCTTCTTACCTGCTTCCCCCCACTTCCCCAACAGTCTGTCACTGCTGGACTCTCAGAGCCTCTCCTAATGCCTGACACACGGCAGGCACCCAAAATGTGTTGAATAAGAACCAGTTTATTTACAAGGCAGACAAAAGCAGAGTCTCATTCGGAAATCATCAGCCTAGGAAGTGTTTCAGGTAAATTAACCTGCCTGACTCTTCCATTCTGTGATGCTAATCATGCTCCACATTATTTACTGTTTTCTTGATAAGGAAACCAAGACGTCATTGCTTAGGGTCATATAGCTGGGGCTTCCATAATAATCATTTTGTTTCACAAAGCACAACTCTGTGTTCTTTCCTTCCAACACAACTGAACCAGACACTAAATCAATTCCAAATACTTCTTTTAGGCAATTTGCAAGGAGAGCTCTGTGAAGGACCGAGCCCCATGCTTCCAGGAACTAAACCAGACACGTTCTTTCCACCTGGGCAGAGGAGGCTGTTGCGGAGGAATGATGGCTAATGAGAATAACGCGGAGCCCTCGAGCCCTTTTACTGTGTGTGGTGGCGGCGGTGGTTGGTAAACATGCTTTTTGTAAACTGTTCTATTTCCAGGAGTACAAAGAAGTGGAGAAATTTAGAGAATCCGATTTCCTGAATTTCACAGTTGGTTTTAGATAGCACTTACTATTTTTTTTAAGTCTATATTCTCAGCCTTGATGTCCCCCAGGTTTGCCTGGGGAAGCTTTATAAATCCCAATGCCTGGACCCACCCCAGACAAGTGAAATCAGAATCCCAGGGGGAGAGACGGTGGCATTGGTGCTAAGACTCCCGGGTGACTTACCATCAGTCATGACTGAACCATTTGTCTAGATCCTCAAATGGGGTGTCGATCTGCCAATGGCACATCCTACAGCCGCCCAAAGAGAACATATCAGGTTTAAATGGAGGGTGGACTCTAAACCTACACATACGCCCAACGGTTAGATTCAGCATTCCTAGAGGGATAATGTTCTACCTTCATGGACATCGCTGGTTTAGACCAGCCTGCACCCAGGACCAGTGAAATCCCAGCGGAGTGGAGTCCAGCCACGAGCCATTGCCAAACCTCTGGGGTGAGTCCAATGTGCAGACCAGGTTGAGAACCACTGCTTTATTTATTTTTTATTAATTCATTTACTTTATTACAGACGTCCCTCCTTTATCTTCCATAGAACACTCCTCCCTACTCACCCCACTCCTTCACCGGACTGTTGTCTGTGTCCATTGGTTATGCATCTATGCATATATGTTCTTTGGTTTATCCCTCCCTGCCCCACCCCCTTCCCTCTGAGGTTTGTCAGTCTGGACAACCCCTGCTTTAAGTGGTGCGGGCTTTGTCTGGAAGAGGAAGTCAAGGCAAGGCTGTCCCCATTAACCCCAGTGGATGACAGTAACCTGGCAGCGGCCACATGAGAGCTCAGCACTGGCCCTCCCAGATCTAGATTTATGGCCTTGGACAAACAACAGAACCTATCTTGGCACGGTGCCATCCTGCCCAGTACTAATTAGGGCTTAAATAATTCTCATCAGTATGTGCATAAAATAAATGGACCTCAATTTAAGACAATTTGCCCACTGTGTCCTGGTTAATGTATTCACAATTTACAGGTTTTCACAATCATAACTATACGAGTTTTATTTTAACACAGAGGAGGAAGATATTAAAACCTAGCCATCTCGACACTATTTTTATTTTTTTTACTAGGTATTGAGTCATGTAAAAAAATTACTTTCATGGCCATTGATAATAGGATAACAACATGTACTCTATTAAATCAGTAACCAATATGATTATCGCTAGCGTCTTTCAATTTAATCACTGCTTCTTATCATCATCAATTTCATTATATTTTGACAGGTAGGGTGCAGATAGCACTGTGAAGGATGGTAGCTGAATGACAAGATTATACACCCAGAAAATGCAAAGAAATGAAGTGAGTTTATTAAGTAATTTGGCAAAGCAGAGAGGAGGGAAATACCCACTACTGCATTGCTTTATTCAGCAACTCTGCCTCCCACCAAAAACCCCATCCTCACCCACGGATAGAGAAAGCACATGCCAGCACATGCCATCTGCTTAAGGTTCTGGTTGTGAACCCCTGGACAAAGGTATCTATTAATAGTTAAAGTAAGTGTTATTATATCAAAATATATTTCTCATGGTCTGATTTCAAAGCATTAACAACTGTGAGTGAAACGAATTAAAACGAATCCAGCCTTTCTTTTCTGCCTCTCTGGGACCGACTTTGGACCAGCTGTGTGATCCATAGCTGCTGCTGAATACGTAAATGAGAGGAAGTGGAACTGGCAAAGAGGTCGACAAGCTGGGCTTGGCCCCTCTGGTCCAGTGGCCTCTCTGGGGCAGAGCCAGGCAGAGGCTGGAATGGGAACCCGGGAAAAGCACACTGAGGACCTCAGTTGTGTAACAAGATGGCAGGGTGTGGACTTGGGCAGGCAGGGTGCCAGGACAGAGATAAGGAGCTGGCCCCAGTGGTAGGCTCGGAATCAGCAAGTTGGGGCGGCGATAACACAGGGTACAATAGCTGGCATTTCTCCCAGAGGAGAAACGTTGACAAGGACCACACACACGTGTGCCCCCGGCTCAGTGCACCTCCTGCCCGCCTGTCTCAGAGCCCCGGGGCTGCGCATGCGCGGGATGCTGCTGCCCGGGGATAACCTGTGTTTTCAAGGCCTAGAGGGGGAGGAACCAGGCCACGTCCCTCGGAGGAGTGACGAGAACGGAGCACCTGCCGGAAAGGGGCACAGAGAATAAACGATACCTATGTGGATTTTTGGACTATTTGGACCGGGCAGAGGATAACCCCGAAGATGAGGCGTGTTCCTCTCCCCGGTAGGGCTCACCGAGGGGCCACGTGCCTCCGTGTCCCTCCACAGATGGAGCAGTTTGGAAGGAGACCTGAGGACAGAGCCCCAGGGAAAGGGAGAAGGTGGGGGAATTTGTTTGGAAAGACGAAAAGATGTTCAAAAAGTCAGTACTGGGCCAGGCAAAGCAGTTCGGACAGATCTGATCGGCAGCACCCTCTCCCGATGGCCAAGCCCACCTCCATACCCAGTGACCTAAAGGGATATACGTGTGCAACACAAAACGGCCACTAACAGTCATGCTGGGAAGGACGCCTCCTGACATGTGAAAAATAGTCTATTATGTGGTCCAATTTTAGGAGAATTGGTTAAAAAATAAATTACTCACCCGAGCCAGTTTGGCTCAGCGGTTAGAGTGTCGGTCCTCGGACCAAAGGGTTGAGGGTTTGATTTCAGTCAAGGGCACGTACCTGGGTTGCAGGTTCGATCCCCAGCCCTGGTCTGGGTTGTGCAGGAGGCAACCAGTCACTGTGTCTCTTTCATATGGATGTTTCTCTCCCTCTCTCCCTCCCTCCCTTCCAGTCTACATAAAAATCAATGGAGAAATATCCTCAGGTGAGGATTAACCATCCCCCAAAATAAATAAATTCTTCAATAATCTGCAACATGACCTAAAATGCTAATAACAGCAGTCATCTCTGAATTATGGTGTTAGCACTGGTTTTTCCTGATTTCAAGCTGCTGATGAGGAGATGGTCCAAAACGTTCACCTGGGGTCACTAACCACCAGGATGCTAACCACTGGGGCTGCTGAACTTACTGTGGGGAGAGTACCCTTGCCACCCACATTCTTATTTCTTCTGGAAAGTTCCAAGAACTCTGGTGAAGGTACTCAGCTGGGACAGTCTAGAAAATATGTACAGAATGCACACATATATCTAATTGTATTCATTTCTATAAGTAAATGTTAACAGTCACTGGGAAGATCTGTGTTCAATCCAATGATCAGAAACCAAATCCAGGAGTTCCAAGGCCCCCACCATCCTCTCAATCCCAAGTGACAATTACTCCAGATCACAGAAATTTCTACATATTAAAATGAGACGAAAAGCTAGACAACAAAATAATCCAGAAACAAATACCAGGGCACTAGCCCTCAGAGCCAAAGGGCAGAACTCTGAGGTCCCAGGCACAGGGTGGAATGGGGGTGGGGGCTACTCACTCTGTCGTTGCTTCCTTTGTTGTCCTCATACTTGGTTTCTATGTGAATGGAGAATTTCGGCAGAAAGGAACACTAGGGAAAAAGAGGGAAGTTTCATTAGCATGCCGTTTGTTCTCTTGTCTTCAGTATAGCCTCTGGATGCTCTCTTGGCCACGTGGCTGGGAGCACTGTTTGCAATCAGAAATGCTGTTTGCGATTAGAAATGCTGATACTAGGTCAATGTCCAAATTCAGACGAGAAAAGCCACCTTTGGCAACGTGAACACAATTTCACCCAGAAGTCAGGCCAGAGAGAATGACCGGCAATGGAAGGCAAGTCGCTGAAGAGGACATTTCCATAAGGATTCTGTTCTGAGTCGTCCCACAGGCTTGAGAGAAACTGAGGCAGTTCCAGCTGTGGGTGCCCACTGCTGGGACCTGGGGACCCAGCCTGACCCTTTTATAGATGTTCATATAAAGCTAGGCAGGGGCTTTAGCAGAACCTTAAGATCATACATTATCAAAGTCAGACAGACCTGGCTTTTAGTTTGGATCTATCACTTGATAGCTATGTGACTTTGGACATGTCGTTGACCTTTTCTGAACCCCATTAGTATTAAAACACAGATACTGTCCGGCCAATGTGGCTCAGGGGTTGAGTGTTGACCCATGCACCAAGAGGTCGCCGGTTCGATTCCTGGTCAGGACACATGCCCAGGTTGTGGGCCTGATTCCCAGTGAGGGGCATGCCGGAGGCGGTCAAACAATATTCTCTCTCATCAGTGTTTCTATCTCTCTCTCCCTCTCACTTCCCATCTTTCTAAAATCAATAAAGGAAAAAAAAAATGGATACATTGTGAGAGTCAAATAAAACCATGTGCATAGAACAGTGCTGGGCATCGTCAGCATTCAGCATGAGGCTGCAGCTGAGCTTGGCATAGTAGGCAGCCCCTCTTCTTGCCAGCGCAGGGGAGAGAAACCCCAAATGCACACCACCCTTGTGTCCCGGTCTCACTGAGTTATGTTTTACAGATCCAGTAGATTTTAAGGGTCAAGGCAGCTTAAAAAAAGGATTTTGATGGATGTTGCTGTAACCTCCCTCCCGCTGGCACCAAGCTGGGCATTAACTTTCTTGGCCACCATAAACGGGATTGAGGACAATTGGGTAAAATGACCCAGCAACTCCCCGGGAGTTGCAGGCATTGGAGAAATGAGAATTGGGCTATGTGCTCAGTCCCAAGAGCATGTATTCTACCCCGGGCTCTGGTCTCCGTGCTTGCAGGTTCCAATCCACTTATTCCTTGTATCCACTCCATGAACTAGGTGCTATCATTGTTACCCCGCTCTACAGATAAGGAAATGTAGACACAGAGAGGTTAAGAAAATGGCTCACAATCACACAGCCTGTGACAAGTACAGTCGGGATTGAAAGTCTGGGCCCAGTGTCCCTCCCCACTGGTTCTCGAAGTGGGGGATCTCTGAACCTTTAGCATCAGCAGCATCCTGAAACTTGCTAGAAATGCAAACTCTTGGGCCCAACTCCCAGACCCACTGAATCAGAAACTCGGGGGGTGGGGTGGGGTGGGGTGGAGCAGGCATCTGTGTTTAATGAGCCCTTCAGGGCCTGCTGATACACACCCCTGTGGGAAAACCACCTCACTACTTCCTGCACAAGAAGTAAACAGAGAAGCCTTCCCTAAAATCCTGAAGTCCACAGTACCCACCCTCACCCATGTGCTGCTGACTCCCTTTCAGCCAGCAGAGACCCCCAGGCACCTGCAGGGGCCTGGGATGTGCCACTGAGAACCGCCTGATGCCACACGCCTGCGTGATTCGGCATCCACCTGTCTCAGACCCAGGGAAACAGGCAAGTCAATACCAGTAATTGCCTTCATGGAGAACGTGGCCCTGCAATGATTCACCGACACCTTCTTTGCTGTCTCCTCTCCAACCTCTCACTCCATGGCTGCTGCCCTCACACCCAGTCCCAGGGAGTCCCGAGGAGGGGGACTGAATTGAAACTCATTGTGAAAGCTCATTGTGAATTGAAACCCCGAGGGCTCAGAGAGCTCTCCATCGACTGCGACCTTGGGGAGATGCTCCTACCCTGCGACCTTGGGGAGATGCTCCTACCCGAGACCCTTTTCAAAACAAGCCTTCAAGTAAACAGATCTGTCCTTTTGAACCCATAATTCACATGAGACTCCATCCAACGCAGTACAGTAGCAGCTGGTTAGAGAACAGAGTTGTGCAGTGTGGGGAGCTGGGTCTGGGTGCATCAGTGGAACCCCGAAAGGATTTTTTATTGGTTGAACCTTTAAACGCCTTACTTAAGCTCAAACAAATAAATCTCAGCACTTGGGTAAAAAGTCTTATGCAAATTGGCAGATGTTATTTTTGAGTCAAGGACTTAGGTTATTTTCATATCAGAATGGCAACGCTGGCAGAGGCTGTGAGTGCACCTGGCAGGCAGGGCAGTGGGCACCCAGATCAGACAGGCCAGCTCCAGGCTGGTCAGCACTCCTCCTACTGCAGTGGTTCGGGGCTGACCATTCCCTTGGGAACTCTGATGGCTGTTTCTCTGAGCCCTGGAGTGTGTAGGTGTCTCATGTTAAAAGTCAGATGTATCGCCCTGGCCGGTTTGGCTCGGCGGTTAGAGCATCAGCCTGCGGTCCAGAGAGACCTGGGTTTGGTTCCCACTAGGGGCATGTACCTCGGTTGCAGTTTGTCCCCGGCCCTGGTCGGGTCGTGCGGGTGGCAACCGCTCGATGTGTCCCTTTCACGTCGATGTTTCTCTCTCTCCCCCTCCCACTCTATCTGAACAAAAAATAGAAAAGTGTCCTTGGGTGAGGATTAAAAAAAAAAGTCAGATGTATCTATGACTCGGGGCATTTTTAGAACTGTCACTATAATCTCTGCAGTGAGATGTCCATGTTGAGATAAATTTCTGCTTCCCAGCGCAGATTAGCTTCCCTGACAATCCGGCCCTCTAATCCTGGAGCCTTTACCGTCAGGAGTGTGGGAGCCCTGATATAACCAAACTGGAACGTCCTGAAAGAGGAGACAGCAGGCGTGTCACTCAATGGCTAAAAGTGGATGACGTCTAAGGAATTCAGAAGACGCTTTATGGCACACTGGGCGTTTGAAGTCCCATCTGACCCACAACAGCGTGAAGGAGAAACTAACTCACGTAGACAGAATTTCCAGATGGGGCCCAAGTTTCCCAGCCTCTGGTTTACATACCCTGTATAATCCCTCCGCTTAAGTGTGGGGAAGACCTGAGAATATGGGATAGTAGCTCATCTGCTGAGATGACCTAAACCATGAGATTATGCTACATTATATAAGACTTGTTTCTAGAAGAAGCAGAGTCCTTTGCTGGCTTCGAAGAAGTAAGCCACCACGTCTTGAGAGGGCCCTATGGCTGGAAGCTGAGGAGCTGCGAGGGATCCCTGGAGGCCGGCCAACTAGAAAATGGGACTTCTTTCCTACGACCGCAAGCAACTGAGCCTGCCAACAACCAGTGTGCTCAGGAGAGGATCCTGGGCCTCAGATGAACCTGGAGCATGGCTGACACCTTGATTTCAGCCTGGGAAGGTTCTGAGCCAGAGACCCACATAGCTCGGGCCCCAATGGCAATGTGAGATGATACATTTGTGATTTGTCACATCACTAAACTTGTTACGCAGCACTCGAAACCAACACCCAACCTCCAGAGTCCAACCACTTCTTCCTTTCCAAATCCCCCATCTGGCTCAGCCGAGTCAAGTATGACTCCCTTGGAGGTTCGAACATATTCAGGGAATTGGGGAATTTGGATTCATTTTAACTTAGTAGTTCTACCTCTGACGTCATCTGCTTTACCGATGGCCACTGTTTATTGTCCAGGGTGACATCTACTAGTAACAGACACCACGAAGCTTGCCACTAGCTGGTGTCCGGGCGGCAAGCAGCTGTGGCTGGCCCACAGGGAGGACGCATGGTGGTTCAGTAGAAAGAAAACAGGTTCCGGAGTGAAACAGACTTTGGTTCAAACTCCAGCTTGCTTTTTTTTTTAATCCTCACCTGAGGACATTTTTGCCTTTATCTTCGGATAGAGCAGGAGGGAGAGAAAGGGAAAGAGAGAAACATGGATGTGAGAGAGACACATCGACTGGCTGCCAACCACATGACCCCAACAGGGTCAGGGACAACTGCAACCAAGGTACGTGCCCTTAGCGGAAACTGAACCCGGGACTCTCTGGTCCGCTGGCCAACACTCTAACCACTGAGCAAACCGGCCAGGGCCTCAGCTTCTTTTTTTTACAAGCTGTGTGACTTTGGGCAAGTTCCTCAACCCTCCTGAGTTTCAGTTTTCTCATCCATAAAATGGATACAATGCCAGCCTCCTAGCTGTGGGGTGAGGAGTACGAGCTAACGAATGTGCAGGGACAGGCAGCGCCTGGTAAAACAGTCACTCGGGAGATGCTGGCCCATCCCAGTGTATCCCTTCGCACGAATCCCACGGGCTACATGGGGGGAAGAGCGCTGGGCTGGGGGTGTCTCTGCTGTGTAAGTGCAGGGATGCACCGATGCACTGGGAAGCTGTGGGCTTGCAGCAGCGACAACAGGACTTCCGCTTGGTCCTTCCCATGACGGGGATGGTGGCCAGGCCACAGCGCAGGCTCGCTCTCCTACAGCCTGGCCGTGGCATGGTATGTTCCGGCCCATCCTGTCACCGCCCTCCTTTTCCTGAAGGTGGGCCGTTCCTTTTTCTGCGGGAAGCTCTCTGCCCGCAGCCCTCCTCAGCGCTCCCTAGACTCCGGGCCACCTCCGTGCCCGGGCACAAGAATACTACTGGGATCTCCGTGTACTTTTTTTCCTCCGAATCTAAAGGCTTTATGTCTGTTGGTTCTCTCGGCCCTATTACGAAACTAAGGATCAAAGAAATTAGGAAACAGCATTAAAAAAGCAACAGCATAGCCCTGGCCAGTTTGGCTCAGCGGTTAGAGCGTCGGCCTGCGGTCCAGAGAGACCCGGGTTCGGTTCCCGCTAAGGGCACGTGCTTCGGTTGCAGTTTGTCCCCGGCCCTGGTTGGTCGTGCGGGTGGCAGCC